GGGCTGCCTGGGGTGGCTCCTCACGCGTCTCTGACAGGCCAGCAGTGACTGTGGCCAGCACCTGAGACATCTGCGGACAAGGCTACCACTCTGGCTTTGCCTCGTGCCAGTCACGGTGCCCAGCCCTTGATAGTGACCATTTCACGTGACGCTCACAGCCACCCTGTGAAATGGCTCTGTGATTGTGCCCGGGTAGGGAGCCCGGGGCCCAGAGGGGTTCAGTAACCTGCTTAAGGCTGCCTCACTAGTGAAGAGCAGAGCTGGGTGTGGGACGCCGGCGCCAACCACCGTGCTGTTCTGGGAAGCACGGATGCCTGCGTTCTGGCCACCGGGACCTGTGGCGCTCCCTGGGTCAGCTCCGAGCTGGGGTGACTCTGCTCCCTCGGTCCCCACCTGTCACCCCTGGGCAGACCAGATGAGCTCTGTCCTGACTCCCAGGATGAGGGAAGGGTTGGATGCTGTGGTGCCCGGGGGACCCCCCCCCCCCCCCCCCCCCCCCCCCCGCAGGTGCTTAGCAGGACTTCCGTGCAGAGAACAGCTGAGGCACGTCCCTGGATGTCCCTACCCCGCCCTCCAGGAGGGTGTGGGACTGCCACACTGGAATGTCTCTGGTGAGGGGTGGCCTCTCAAAATAGGTAGAGGGCAGCATGTCCAAGGTGAGCTGAAGCCACTTCTGGAAGCGGCACACCTCTTCTATTTCAGGCCCACTGAGGGAGGGGATCGGGAAGGCCAGGCCAGTCCCTCTGGAGCTCACCCGGTGGCTCATGGGGGAAGGCAGGGGACACTGAGCCTGGTGCTGGGGAACAGGGATCATCTCTGGCCTGGGCTGCCCCTCGCCCCCTCCCTGCAGTGAGGGCAGTCAGCCCTGCTCCCCCTGCCCCCTCCCTGCAGTGAGGGCAGTCAGCCCTGCTCCCCCTGCCCCTGCCCCCTCCCTGCAGTGAGGGCTGTCAGCCCTGCTCCCCCTGCCCCCTCCCTGCAGTGAGGGCTGTCAGCCCTGCTCCCCCTGCCCCCTCCCTGCACTGAGGGCAGTCAGCCTGGCTCCCCCTGTGACCCTGACTTGACCTCCTGTGAAGGGACTGGCTCTGTGTTTAACCCCTTCCTTGGTGCCGGCCCCCCTCTTCCCCCCACCAGTTCCCAGTTCAACTTTCCACTCCCTCAGGACATCGCCGATCAATCTCAGAAGGAAAATGAGGGAAGAAAATCCATGGGACTTCTGTTCTCTGTAGGCCGACCTCCCAGGCTGGGGTGGCCCAGGCCAGTCATGGAGACTATCTGATGCTCTGCTGCCCCAGTGAGGAAACTGAGGCTCGAGTAGGGCGGGGACCGGCCAGAGGGGAGGAAATCCTCCGGTGTAGGACCCCTATCTGCGTGACCTCATCTCCTGCTGTGCCGACCCCAGTGGTCATGAGACACGGGGCTGATATCTGAATCCAGGGGTCTGACTCGGTCCCTTCTACCTCCTCGAAGCTTAGCTTATTCAGTGCCCCATGCCCCCTAATTTGGGGTGGTCCTTGGGGTGCTTGTTCAACTTCTCACACCTTTATTATTTTTTAATTTTTTA